TATATATTATATATTTTTTTTTTTTTTTTTTTTTTTTTTGAGATGGAGTCTCTCCTTGTCTTCCCAGGCTGGAGAGTGGAGTGGCAGCATCTCCACTCCCACTGCAAGCTCCGCCTCCCAGGTTCATGTCATTCTCTGCCTCAAGCCTCCTGAGTTAGCTGGGACTTACAGGCACCCGCTCAGCACGCCCAGCTAATTTTTTGTATTTAGTAGAGACGGGGTGGGTTTCACCGTGTAGGCCAGGATGGTTCTCGAATCTCCTGGACCTGGTGATCCCACCCACCCTCATTCCTCCCAAAGTGCTGGGATTACAGGCGTGAGCCACTACGCCCGGGCCTTACAATGATCTTTTTATCTGTCTTTGCACACGGTGCCACATTGCATATGTAAGATAACCTTCATAGACTTATGCATTTTTCATTTTAAATACAGAGCTTGAAGCATTACTGGTGCAAATTACAACTTGATAAAGCCTCCTAATATTAGACTGTGTGTCTACCACGAAGGGTAGCATATTAGAATAGCAGTAATGTAAAGATGTTCTTAATTTTTATTATTTAGGTATATTTCAAAGTAGACCTACTTAAGGAATTAACAGCTTTTCCTAACAGGAAGTATAAGCTGATTTTAATTTTTCAAACAAACAAATGATTCTCTATTTTAACATTTCTGGTAAAATCTCATCTTCTTTACGCAGTAATCTTAAAAATTAAGACAGTAAGTTGTGTACACATAAACGTTTAAATTAAACATTTAAGGAGCACAACTCAACGTACCAACGCAGTCAAACCTGGGTGCTCCTAACAAAAAATTTCACTATCGTTCCAAAGTGACAGTCTTTGTCTAAGTTTGCATGGCATCTCGGAATTTCATTAAAATTATCTTAATCTGATTTACAGGAGCATAAGGAAATTATTTGCTTACTAAACAGAATCTGGAGGTTTCAGAATATAGATATCAATTAATACCCATATAAAAAAACTAGTCTCAGTATCTACCCCTTTTCTCCACCTCCAGGGTTCAAGCAATTCTCGTGCCTCAGCCTCCCGAGTAGCTGGGACTACAGGCGCGCACCACCATGCCCAGCTAATTTTTGTATTTTTAGTAGAGACGGGGGTTTCACCATATTGGCCAGGATGGTCTCGATCCCCTGACCTCGTGATCTGCCCGCCTTGGCCTCCCAAAGTGCTGGGTTTACAGGCGTGAGCCACTGTGCTCGGCCTGGTATCTACCATTTTAACTTCCATCTAGTTACATGAAACAAATCACAGAACCTGGTCTGACCCAAAAGCAGGATTAAGTGACATAAAAACCCCAGAAAAATGAATTTAAAAAGTAATGGCAAAAAGTTCCTTTTCCTAATTAATAATTAAAGTTTCTAAGTGTAGATCAGGATCACAAAAGAAAGAGGTGAAAAGAAAAACCTATAAATGATAGGAAAAATATTAGAATGTTGATCTTGTCCCTTTTTCTGTTGTTCCAGATTTCATTACCCTTTTCTTTTATATGCTTTCAGCTTCTAGGAGAAGAGAAGGCTTTTATTAAATTTTAGGGTCAAGGTTTTAGAGTTAATTTACAAATACAACTGCATCAAATCTAGTTGGGACCACACAACTTAAGCAACACCTGCCAGTCCTGGAGTTCTCAGAAGAAAGCACCACTTAAAAGAATGAAACAGATATACGTTTATAAGGCAATCTATAAAACTCTGTTCTTAGTTTGAAGAGACTGCTATGGAAAGAAGTAATTGTCAAGTACATGAAAACTTTACTAGTTAATCAAGGAAGGTACATTTAAAATTATAAAATATAACTATAAAATCAATAATGACAGTTTGTTACAAACTAACAAGATTATGAAAAACAGGTAACACAGACATTTTAAAGAATAATTTAGCATGGTCCATTAAACACAAAAGGCACCTAGCTTGTACTTAGCAAAATCTTTTCTGGCATCTATGTTAAAGAAAACACTGGCATTAAGTATAAGCAGGTAAAAAATATTTACTGGTCAATATTTGAAAAACTAAAAATTTGGAAACAAATTTCCATGATCAGGAGATAAGCTGGAATCCTATATGGCTTTAAAAAAAAAAAAGAAAAACACAGAACTGGATATGCCAAATCAAATAGGTTATGAAAACATACAAGGGGGAAAAAGGTACAGAATAACACCTTTTTTTTTTTTGGTGAGACAGAGTCTCACTCTGTTGCCCAGGCTGCAGTGCAGTGGCGTGTTATCGGCTCACTGCAACCTCCACCTCCTGGATTCAAACAATCCTCCTGCCTCAGCCTCCCGAGTAGCTGGGATTACAGGCATGTACCACCATGCCCAGCTAATTTTTGTATTTTTAATACAGACAGGGTTTCACTATGTTGGTCAGGCTGGTCTTGAACTCCTGATCTCAAGTGATCCGCCCACTTTGGCCTCCCAAAGTGCTGGGATTACAGGTGTGAGCCACCATGCCTAGCCAGAATAACATCTTTGATGTAAAATAAGAACTAAACAAATCAACAAACAAAACTCCACATCCACAATATATATGTTCTACAAATTTCTATAAGTATTTTTAAAGGACTACATACGTAAGACACATATTAAACTCCTTACACCTCTGGGAAGAGGACAAAATTGCAACTAGGATTCATATAGTCAAATGTTATTTTAGCTTTTATCTGTAATGTCTCATTACTTGTAAAACTAAAAATTGATAAAGCAATCATCTGGGTAGCAAGGTGTATTGTTTTAAAATGTAATGCAAGAATTTCAATGCAGAGGTCAATACTATCTTAATGTTCACACTTTTAAAAGGATGGCTTTCTTTATTCACGTATTACTTCTATAATTAAGATACAAACAAAATAAGGTGATAGTAGTCACTATTAATATAAGAACATAATTTTAAAAGTTTTTCTCTAGTGTAAGAAATATCATCTCAATAGTGACAGAATGGACTAGATTAGACTTCATAAGATTCTTTCAAAGGTGGTAACTATGAAAGTAATTTTTAAAATGTTAAATGATAAATCACAAGAAATAAGACAAATTCCTAGGTCTACTATATTTCAAGTTCTCTACTATAAACGACAAAGGTTAGATTAGGCGACTGCTAAGATTCATCTAGCTCTACATGTCAATACCTACCTTCAACAGATTTAAACAGAATAAAACTTGAGTTTCTACCTTTATTATGTGTATTCATCAGCCTCCCAAAACAAATACAATTTTTCCTTACCTAAAAAGCATAAAAACTGTGGCAGGCATCAGGAATATTTCATTGCAAGCAATGAATTTCAGAATATTTTGTTGATTAGCACTTAATTTGTCCAAGACAGATCTCAACAGAGGTAAACTATTTGAGCCCCTTGCCTAAAACAAAAGAAAACCAACATTAGAAATAAGTGAAGCATTTCTGATAACAATACTTTCTTTCTGTAAGTAAATAGCCTATCCAACAGGCAATACAATCAAATATACTACTTTGGAAATGATGGTACAAAGTTCACAAACCATTTAAGGACAAATATAGTATTTTTCCTGCTTTTGTATATATTTAGACTTAATATAAAAAACAACTTTAGTAAAAGTACTTTTCATTCTTAGCTGCTTTTTCTCAAGAATGATTATTTAACAAAAAATAGTGGTTATTTCTCTCTAACCATGACAAAATCTGACTATCCAGTAATACAGTTAAAATATCTGTGACTCCTTCCTTAGCTAATGTTGGAATTACACAGCAATGTAATTACTGCTGTGACCAAAGAATTACAGGGATAAAGAAAAAGGCCAATACAAAGCATAAATCTGGATATTTTAATTCAAATTTCAGTATATATACTGTAAATGGGCTTGGTAAATTTGCCTGGATATTTTAATTCAAATTTCAGTATATTCTGTCAATGGCCTGATGCCAAGTTAGGTTTAATGCTCCAACCTAGCAATAAGAAAGAATTTCAGGAAAGCAGCAGTTCTGAAAATTAATGTAAAAGAGATTTATTCAGTACACTCAACTTATCTGGTATGCCAGAATTAAACACTGACAGAACAAGAGATCTGACAACTCAACAAACTTTAGAGACACAGGTTTCAAAAAAACAGATCTATTTCAAACTTGAAAAAGTCCCCTGGAGACCGGGGGGTGATATTAAGTGCAATCCTTTATCTATAAAATGTTCTAGTTTGTGAAACTTCAATAAACACTTCTAAACTTAAAACTTTCAAATCACTAAATAATTCATAACAAGTTTGTAAGGAATGGAGGGACTTTTTGTGACAAATACCAAAATGTCTTAGAATGAGAATTCATGTCAATGATCTGTAATTCAGAAGTCAGACGAGCAGCAGTTTTACTTACATCAAGGACCTTTTTCGTATATGTGGCAGCATGAAGCAAAGAGAATAACAAGACTGGGAAGATACTCACTAAAGAAAACAATTAAGGAAAACATTTAAAAGTCATCAAGTATTCTGCAAAACAGACTATGTATATATATTATGTCCAAATATACAGATCTGAAACATCTGCTAAAATGAGTTCAGTGGAATGGTTTGTTTTACTGATACACTTTAAGCCAAATCAAATTTTGTTAACTATAAAGAAGAAAGTAAACTATTTCATTTTCTAAAATTCAGGTTTTTTTGTTTGTTTGTTTGTTCTTTGTTTGTTTTTTGAGATGAAGTCTCACTCTTCTCCCCCAGGCTGGAGTGCAGTGGCGCAATCTTGGCTCACCGCAACCTCCGCCTCCTGGGTTCAAGCGATTCTCCTGTCTCAGCATCCCGAGTAGCTGGGATTACAGGCGCCTGCCACCACGCCCAGCTAATTTTTGTATTTTTAGTAGAGACAGGGTTTCACCATGTAGGCCAGGCTGGTCTCGAACTCCTTACCTCAGGTGATCTGCCCACCTCGGCCTCCCAAAGTGCTGGAATTACAGGTGTGAGCCACTGCGCCCGGCCAATTCACAGTTCTTTTTATGACAAAAATTAATAGTGAAAAAGCTTTTTCATTCATTTCTACTGGGTAACAATTTAAACACTTGCTAAATTAAATTGAAATCTAGGTAACCCCAAATGGTTGTAAGTATAGCTTTTAACCCTACAACGGCTTTCTTGGTCACTCTAACTTACCCTTCAAACACAGTAGTTTTATAGTGCTTTCACAATCTCAAATACTGAGGAAAGAGTCTAAGGTAATGGTTTAAAGAGTAATTCACAAATTTTTAGTCCCGAAGACTAAAGATCTTTAATTACTTCTTTCCTACAAAGACTCTAAAATTTTGAGATGCTATACCTAACAAGTTGTTACAGTTATGCTCTCATGCTCTCAATTTGTAAAAATTAAAATGGCAGTATATATTTTGCTTTGTATACAGTCAATTGAAACTCTTAACAGCTTAATTACAGACATAAGGAAAGAATCCTTTTGAATCCAACTGTTTGGCTTTATGCCATGGATAAACATACTTTTCATTCAGCTTTTTGTAAAATGGAAATTGTTCAAAAGACCCCATTCTCCACCCCAATTTCTACCAGGTTGATTTAAAAAAAAAAATTGTCAAGTAGTTCCACAAAATGATATAGACTGTTAGTCAATCACAAATGGCAAAAATACTTGTCCTAAAAATATTAGCAGTTCCTAAGAAATGAACCATTGTATTTTTCTATACTAACTGAAGGCCTGATATGACAGGAAATGGTGATTGCTATAACATAATCTGAGTATCAAATTCATTATAACCATAACTCATTTAGGAATCCAAGGGACCCAGTTTCCAACTGACAAGCAAGACACCAACCTATATCCAAGTATTAGAAGAACCATAACTCTCTAACATAGTTTTCCAAATTAATATCCTGACCAACTTGTTCCCACCTCTAACAAGAATTAAGAAAAATGTCCATTTCCTAAGTAGGGATCATATATGTATATAAAAAGTTTTAAAATTTTTAATGAATCATAGACTACTTTGAAACTGATGGAAGCTACAACTATCTCCTAAAGTCACTATAAAACTCTGTTGATCCTTAAAGAATTCAATTCGAACTTTGACGCATATCCAAACTGAATTCAATAAAAGGGGCAGTGTCAGGTAGTGAAAATATAGCCCTGAATTGGGAGTCGAGATACCTGGGTTCCACTCCTGACTCTGTCACTAACCTAATTTTCCTAGGCCAAGTTTCATGCTCTGGCAAATGAGTATGCAGAGATCAAAGCTAGAAATTTCCAATGAGTCTTTTATCTCTAACATTCTATAGTTCACAAATCCTTGGTAAGAGATTCATAATCTTAGTCTTCAACATCACTTTTAAACTATTAATACAATGTATTTAGAAAAGATAAGAGGTGAAATGCCCTAAGTACCTGTTATTAATCGAGGAAGGACAAAATATCTCCTTTATAAGAACAAAAATCAGAACGCAAGTCTGTAATATTACTTTGGGCCCACTTTTATTTATTACCATATCACCTTAATAATCAGATTAGCATTTCCTGCCAATTACTAGTTTATGTTATTCCCACTGTTTACTACATTCCCTTTTTAAGAATTTAAGGAATAGGAAATCCTTAATCTTCAACATTCCCAGGAAAGAGGGGCTACCAAATAACCAACTGTATAAAAAGGCAGAAAGGCTTTCTTCACTAGTCATGAGTTTCATTTGGCAAGACCTCAGGATTCACTCAACAAAACTTTCTGATCTGTGTAAGGCACTGTTCCCAAAGTTATTGATGTATTCAGTTTACCTGACATTAAAACACATTTTCTGTCATTTCTATTTCTCCCTCCGAAGAAATTTTAAGCTACTAAAAGGCATGACCAAAAATCTCTACATAACTTCCTGTTATAGCTCAGAAAGTCTAGAATTTTAACATTGGTGACTGCAAAGCACTTCAATCAACAGAGGCCAGTCAAGCCAATAATATGCCAAACAAATGTGATTATCATTTACAGTCATAGTATAATAATCATTTAATAAGTTTTACCTAAAAATGAACCAATACAAATTATGACGGGACATTACAGACCCATGCATTGAAACAGGAAAAATTTTATCCTTACATTTCAAACTACCCATATTATCTCAGTGAAGCATGTAATTTAAAGGGAATCTCTATATAATGAACATGTAAATGAAGTTACCAGCTTTACCTACATAGAGAAAGAAATATCTTTAATGTACCCTTAAGTGTTACTCACCCACTAACTGTAGATCAGGTAGGGCTTTTAAGTTAGAAAGACCTTTTCAGCATTACTACTTACTAGCCAATATGTGGGAAGTGGATACTGATAATCAGCAAATCAGCATCTTTATTAAAAATATACCACAGTGAGTGGTATATTTTTTAGAGTGCTACAAAGATTAAATGTCAAGTTCTTTTTTTTTTTTTGAGATGGAGTCTCGCTCTGTCGCTCAGGCTGGAGTGCAAGTGGCACGATCTTGGCTCACTACAATCTCCACCTCCAGGGTTCAAGCGAGTCTCCTGCCTCAGCCTCCTGAGCAGCTGCAACTATGGGGACGTGCCACCATGCCCAGCTAATTTTTTGTATTTTTAGTAGAGATGGGGTTTCACCATATTAGTCAGGATGGTCTCAATCTCCTGACCTCGTGATCCGCCCACCTTGGCCTCCCAAAGTGCCACCATGCATGAGCTACCGTGCCTGGCCTAAATTCAAGTCCTTATACTGGCAAAATAGGTGCTCAGGAAATTTCTGTTTCCTCCTATTTCTTTTGCTTAAGACTTATAAAAATCTATTTAAAAGTTTGATACTTCATGAGCATAAGTATCTAAATAGGTAATATTCAGTCTCAGAGGAATATTTTATTGTGCTTTACATAACATATAGATGTATCATAATATTCAAAAGCTCTCAGAGCAGCACTTCTCAATGCACAAAATGATTTGCAGAGATAATCTACAGGAAAAAAACCCAAAACAGTTAAGTTTAAAAAACCCTGGTAACTCTTTTAGTTTCACAACACACGTTAGAATACCAAAGTCCCTATAGTAAAGAACCTATTTAAAAATGTTTAACCTGGCTGGGCGTGGTGGCTCACACCTGTAATTCCAACACTTTGGCAGGCCAAGGCAGGTGGATCATGAGGTCAGGAGTTCAAGAACAGCCTGGCAAATATGGTGAAACCCCGTCTTTACTAAAAACACAAAAAAATTAGCCGGGTGTGGTGGCAGGCGCCTGTATTTCCCAGCTACTCAGAAGGCTTAGGCAGAGAATTGCTTGAACCCAGGAGGCAGAGGGTGCAGTGAGCCAAGATCGCGCCATTGCACTCCAGCCTGGCCTGAGCAAGACCCTGTCTCAAAAAAAAAAAGTTTAACCTAGCGTTCACTATAGAACCTCTTCCCTATTTTTCCCCCTCCTTTATGGAATACCCAGTATCATCCCACAACACACCTTTGAAATGTGAAAACATACAAATTCCAAACAAGTTATTTCTCATTAGCTTCACAGATTATCTATGTGTGTCCTTATTTTCTACTCTATACACAGCAAATATTAACTTCTTTGAATTATCTCATTCCCTGCTTAAATAAGTTATTTTTTTTGGTTAAATTCCATTTGTGTCTAGTTCACTGGGGGTTAAGATAGAAAGAGCTGAGGACCTCTCTTTTTTAAAGCAAGACATGACACTTTGCCAAAAATGTGAATTAAATGAAAAAAATTTTAAATATTAAAGTAAGTTCTGCATAAGCTTATACTTCGAAGCAGAATTTGAAAATATCCATTCTAACAGAGAAGATTACAAGAGGCAAGAACAAAGATAGTTTAAAATTCCTAAATCAGCTCTTCAAAGTTTACATTTCACATTTTAAAAGTCAGAAATTCTTACGCTAAACATATCTTCATTCAAATGAAGTGCCAAGAACAAACCCAGACTTCATGGAATGCCTTCATTGCTGAAATAATCAGAAGAGATCTCCTATATACTTAGTTGGCAATTTCATTGTTAAAAAGGTAGAAAAGGATACTTGTAACTGGGTAGGAGTTTACAAAGATGAGTGAATACAACAGGTAGTGACAGCTGTCCTCTAACAAAGCCTGGGCCAGGAATGCTCTGCTTAACTGGAAGTGTGGTAATCTTTGGTGCAGCCTCAGAGCACTGGTAAGAGCATTTGCCAGCAAAGCACGTTGGTAAAAGCTTGCTGCTTCATGCAACCTGCAAATTACCAGAGGAGAGGTTATCATGAGACATAAACAACTGCAGTGTCTCTTCCTCCTTTGTGAATTGCATCATAATTGCACAACACCTAAATCACTTGTCAATAGAAAAAAATTACATGAACTTATTCTACCTTTTTTAATAGCATCACTTCATATATACGTCCAACTGAATTTTTTATAATCAATTTATAAAACTGAATTTTATAAAGCAGGATCTTCCATCAAGTAATAAGTAAAAATGAAAAAAACATGAACTTATCTCATTCCCACACATCAATTTTTCCTTGGATTTTCAATGTGTTAGTTTCACAAGATATAAAATATTCCTCTAACTGATAGTGTTATTAGGTTGTTAGTATCTTAAGGCTGGAACTTGTATTTTATTTGTCCCTGAACCCTTTACAGGTTAACAAGTCTTACACATAAAAGGCATTCCAGATAAACTGACTCAACAACTGAATATCAAAGGCAGCAATATGTATAATACATACCCAAGAAGAGGCAGAACAAACAAAGCAGAGCAGTAAACTGTGAACAAGCGAGAAAGCCACATTGCCGTGTCCAGTTTATTGGTCATCATGAATTGCTAAATTTAAAAAGAAAAATACTGTAAGCTATGCCTGCAAATTATGTTTTTAAGCATCAAGACTGTGTGGCTTTTATGTCTACTCAAAATATTTTAATCTTGCTCCATTTGTTTTTTAGATCATTAGGTGAAAACTCTAAGGCAATTAAATGTTTCATGTATACGCTTAATGACAAGTCTGAACACCTTATAGTTTTCATGTAGAAAGCACAAGTACTTAAACAGAAATAAACAGAAAAACATCAGCTGACATTTGAAAAAATGCAAAGACTAATTAATTAGAAAAAATAATCTTAACAGAAATTCAACTACAATTGTCTGTATTCCTTTAATACTTGTAATATTGGCTTCTTCTATTTTAAAAGAACATTAAACAAAAACTAATTGCTCTCAAGAGATCCATATGCCTATTCTTAGCAAAAACTCTCAAATCTGAATAGGTAGGTCTCAGAGCTGAATAAAACATCACATAAAGCCAGTTTGGATTAAAGAAACCTTTTGAAGAAGAAATACAAAACCATGATAGTAGTAACAACTGAACTCATTCACCTTGTAATCTACCTACATGCACAAGAGCCTGGCATACTGTAGGTGTTCAAAATACGGCTGACAGGTATTAAATGGCCACCTGCCTCTCTGATTACACCACTCTCTTTATCACCTCCATGTTCCCCCACCAAGTCTTACCCTAGTTTCAATAGTGCTAGATTAAACTTCCGTATACCATTTTCTTCTCCAGTTTTTTCGCATTCTGTCTTTTCCTTTGCTGCTTTCCCCCCAATACCTATGTCTATTACCACTAAAGCAGAATCTTAAAATTTGTTTTCTCATTAAAATGTATCTTATATTCAAATTCTAAAGTGGCTTTTACATGTTTTGTCTAGGATCTTCGTAAGTAATTTTAACATCGAGATCCATATACATAGATATATAAACAAAAGTTTCACAAACAATATTTACCCTACTGTACATAATGGATTTTGACATTTTCTATTTAATTTTTAAAAAATAGCTGGTATTTTCACTAAACTGACTTCTCAACTCACTAATGGGTCTACCTGAAGTCTAAAAACACTGCTCTATGTAATTTAATTTCATTATCTTTTGAAAAAAACTATGAAAAATTTGAGGGGAAAATGCAAGTACATTGTAAAATTGCAGGCTGTTCTATTGTATGTCTTTTTAACCCACATGTAGGTAATTTCAGAAATATGAAATACAACTTGGATGTATTATTAAATCCAGACTTACCATACTGTGACTCCAGTAAATTGAAATGATTAGCAGTAATCAAGTGAAGGATGAATCCAGCTTACTGTGCTCAGTTTCTCAACAAATATTACAACTGTGCACCACAGTTTGAAAGTTAGTTTTAGAACATTCTCCTTAAAATCTATTTGTTCAGGGTGTTTATTCTGCAATAAATCATTGAGCTATGCGTTTCGTTTTGTACACGCTTATGTATATTTTATTAGACAATTTTAAAAGTTTAAGAAAGTGTATTGGTATACATTTTTTAAGAGTAAACTGTCCAACCATCATACTAATAAATAGCTCAGGCAAAAAAAAAAAAAACCAAAATCACTAGATCTTTGTGTGAAAAATTGTTGAGGAGCAATATTCACACAGTCTCACAGTATCATGCCAAAGAACACTTTAGTTAGAAAGGAAACAAGGAATCTTTACAATGGAGAAACTGGTGGACATCACCTTCATCAAATAATCAAATTCTGCAATGATCGGATAAACCAATGTAAAATGCTTCCTGATATATAATATAGATACACATATATGCTGCAAAATATGTCTGGACTCACAACTATCAGTATCTTAGAAGATAAAAAAGGGGAGGAGAGGGCAGAACTGTTCCTAGATTAAAAGGGAGTAAACAAGATACAGACAGTAAATTTAATGCATGCTTTTTGAGACAGGGTCTCCCTCTGTCACCCCAGGCTGGAGCGCAGCAGCACACCCCGCCTCAGCCTCCCGAGTAGCTAGGACTATACCGGGACTATAGGAGCGCACCTCCAAGACCGGCTAATTTATGTTTGTTTTGAGAGGAGGTTTTGCTCTATAGCCCAACCTGGAGTGCAGTGGTGCGATCTTAGCTCACTGCAGCTTCAACTTCTCGGGCCCAAGCGATCCGCCCGCCTTGGCCTCCCAAAGTGCTGGAATTACAGGCGTGAGCGACCACGCCCCGCCTAATTTTTTTGATTTCTAGTAGAGATGAGGTCTCGCTGTGTTTCCAAGGCTGGTCTCGAACTCCTGAACTCAAGCGATCCTCCTGCCTTGGACTCCCAAAGTTCTGGGCTTATAGGAGTGAGCCACTGTGCCCGGCCATCGATGCATGTTTTTTGGCTGAATCCCGGATGAAGAGAAAGCAGCTTTAAAGGACAATTATGGAAATTTGCACATGGACTTTATATTAGGTAATATTTCTCAAATGTGGTAACTGCATTGTGGTCACACAGAAGAATACTTAACTATTTATGGATTAAAAAGTAGAGGACAATAATGCTCCGGGCACAAATAACTTGTTAGTTCCAGATCAGCATCTTAAAAAATTTACAAAAGCATAATGATATTTCTCTTCATAAAGAACAAAGTGAAGAAGAAAAAGACCACCGCTCTCCTCCTTTTGCATAATTTGTATATACAATGGTATATACTAGGCAGAAACGTTCTTTGCCAGCACCTGTGTGCTCCACGTGGTGTGTGTCATGGATCATGCGTGTCATGGCACAACCTCATGTGGCATCTTTAACCCTGGGGCCTACGATAAACAAGAGACGGAGGTGTGAGAAGAGGAAAGAAGGCCCAATTTCCATGGCATACAGGTGAGGGCCACGAGCTGCAGTCAGTCTATTGTCGCTTCGGAAACAAACTTGTAGTTCCCTCCATATCTTCGCTCAGGACCTCCCCTCTCCCCGTTCTAACTTCCCCACCCCAACTCATTAATCCCAGTCCTGAAAGCACTGAGCTTCTGGAACGCCTCGGGACTCGCAACACTTCCTGCTTCTTCCTAACTCTTGCAAATCAAGCCAGGCTACCCTGCCCTCGCACTTACCACAGCGCCCGCCCCTTGGGGGCCGTTCGGGGTCGTATCTGCCATGGGCTCACACTAGCGTCTGCAACGCTGCAACCGCGGAGAGAAGAAAGGGGGGAGAAAACGTCAGCGCTGGGGCCAGGACCCGGGTACCGGCTTCCCTGCCTCGCGCCACACACAGGCCGGATGCACCCGGCCGGAACTCTGAGCCTCCACCAGGAAAGGGTCTCGCTCGCCCGGTGCAGCCTACTGGATCCAGGGCACCCGCAGCAGCCGCGAGGTACCTGTCCCGAGATCAAAGCCGTGTTTCCAGAAAGACGGGAGCGAAGGTGGAGCTTAAGGGTGAAGCCCTAGAGAGCCAACCTATGCCGCCGGCTCCAGGTTATGGCCCAACCCGGAAGTGCTCCTTTCATTTCCGTAGGGAAAAGGCGGTGACGAAGGGGGGAAACGGGAGTGGTTCCCAGAGGCATGACGGGAAGTGTAGTTTTTTTCTCCTAATTTGCGCTCCAGCTGTCCTACCCGCCGATTGGCCAAGTGAGCTAAGAAATCAGGAAGGGGGAGCAACTTTTGCGTCAAATACAGCTCACAAATAATCCTCCCTGCCCATGCTCAAACCATGAAATTTCTGCACTTCCTGATATAGAGGCCTCAGAAACATCTTTGATCCCTTTCTCCAGGGACTCACTAAGCCCTGTGGTTCTATATCTATTAATTCTTTAAACAAGTATTTATGAGGCCTGCTATGTGACAGGCTCCATACTTGGCAAGGCGGATAAAAAGAGGAATATGACACAGATTGCAAAAGAGAGACAAATAAACGGAAATCAGAGCATAGTGATTGTGTAATATGTACAGAGGCTGATTTAATCACAGGGAGCACAGAGGACGGTACCTAAATCAGAAGGGGTCTGGGGAGGTTTCCTGGAAAAGATAATTCCGGCCCTTGGTCTTGAAGGACAAAAAGTTGGCTGAAAGTGTTACCGGTGGAGGGTGTCCAAGTTCTTGGCGTTTTGAACATAGAAACGGACAAAACGCACAAAGCAAGGAAAGAATGAAGCAACAAAAACAGAGATTTGTTGAAAATGAAAGTACACTCCAGAGTGTGGGAGCACTGGACAGCAGTTCAAGGACCCTGGGTACAGAATCTTCTCGGGTCCAAATACCCCCTAGAGGTTTCCCATTGGCCACTTGGAGTTCACTTCATGTAAATGAAGTGGTGGCCCCCAATCAGAGGCTGAAGTGAAGTTACAAAGTTGCAAACGTCTGATTGGTTACAAAAAGCAACTAATCAGAGGTACTTTGAATTTCCCATCTGCTGCGTAGAACAGGTCCGGGCTTGCAAAGGGAGTAGTGTCTGGTCCTTCTGTTACTTAGGCATGGAAAGTAAGGATTTTCCTTTCAATTTAGTTCTAGGAACTCAGCAAGAAACGGCATTAGGTTCCCTACCTCTATACGATATTCTGCTGCCTCAAAAGGGGAAGAGGACTCCAGACAGGGTAACAGAAACTGCAACAAGTAACAGGATAGCCAGAGGACTAGTTTAGTGTGACCAGAATGATGGTGCAAGTCAGGGGATTGTGAAAGATTTGGGCTAGAAAGGCAGGCAGGCGTGTACTGAGGAAAGGATCTGAACTTGACCCTGAAATCCAGAGAACTATGGTACGATTTTAATCAGAAGTGTGACATCATGAGATTTAGAAAGATCTCTCTGGCAACAGGGTGGAGGATGACCAGAGGGGCAAACTAAAGGTCAGGAAATTAGTTGTGAAGTCATTTTTTTATATATAAACTAAAAATAAAATCCTAAGTCAGGGGTCTGTCGACTGACTGGATAGATCCGTCTCTTGACCAAGGGGACCCCAGCCATGATGGGACAGGAGATCAGACATGCCTCATTATACCCCCTCCCTTTTGTAGTTTAGACACAACTGACTAGCAACTACTTAGGCATGGAAAGTTACGGTTTTCCTTTCAATTTAGTTCTAGGAAGTCAGCCTACTTTTAACATGTTAATGTTACAATAAAGATCATAACATTGACAGAACAAACTCTTTGTAGGAATAGGATACCAAATTATAAACAGGACCTAAGGCCATGCCAGGCAAGGGTTAAGTAATGCACCCCCTACACCTAAAAAACAGGTGCTGGAGAGGATGTGGAGAAATAGGAACACTTTTACACTGTTGGTGAGACTGAAAACTAGTTCAACCATTATGGAAGACAGTGTGGTGATTCCTCAAGGATCTAGAACTAGAAATACCATTTGATCCAGCCATCTCATTACTGGGTATATACCCAAAGGATTATAAATCATGCTGCTGTAAAGACACATGCACATGTATGTTTATTGCGGCACTATTCACAATAGCAAAGACTTGAAACCAACCCAAATGCCCATCGGTGGTAGACTGGATTAAGAAAATGTGGCACATATACACCATGGAATACTATACAGCCATAAAAAGGATGAGTTCATGTCCTTTGTAGGGACATGGATGAAGCTGGAAACCATCATTCTCAGCAAACTATCGCAAAGACAAAACACCAAACACCGCCTGTTCTCACTCATAGGTGGGATTTGAACAATGAGAACACTTGGACACAGGAAGGGGAACATCACATACCGGGGCCTGTCATGGGGTGGGAGCAAGGGGAAGGGATAGCATTAGGAGATATACCTAATGTAAATGACGAGTTAATGGGTGCAGCACACCAACATGGCACATGTATACATATGTAACAAACCTGCACGTTGTGAACATGTACCCAACTTAAAGTATAATAATAAAAAATAAAATAAAATAAAATAAACTATGTTCTGCCACAAGAGTTTCCCCTCCCCGCCCCCCACTCTCTGGCAGCTAAACAACCACCGGCCTAGAGAGAAGCAATATTAAAACAATTACTACTGATCCAGCTTACAGACACTAACTGAACCCCTGCTATACCAACCATAGCTACAGCTTTGATTGCACAAGAGACTGATTTCAGTAACTTTCTCCAGATAAGACCACTGACCATAGGCTGATTCTGGCCACTTTACAGAGGCCATGCACTTGTGTGCCTTCATCTCTGCTTCACCTTTTGATGTACAGGGCCTAACTGTAACACTTTAAATGTTAAGTCTCCACCCCAAGGTGAACACAGGTTGTATGTAACATGCATGTTGTTCCATACGCATGGATCAGGATCATAAAATACTTTTATGAATATTCATAGCTCCTCCTATAACCTGTTGAATATGTAAGTTTAGCCAACCTATTCAGCATAAAGCTCCTACCCAGCCCCTCTTCCTTTAAAGTGCCTTTCTCTGGTCCTTGCTGGAGGCTGTGCTTCTCAGCCTGTGAGATGGCCACCTTGCAGGCTGTATTTCCTTATAAGAAATAAAGTCTCCTTTTCTAAATGTATAGATCCTGTGAGTTTTAAGTTAACACATACATGTAGGAAAGAAGTGACGAGATTCTGGATTGAGGCAGTGTTGTTGGGGAAAACAAGAGGAAAGATGACTTGGAGGTGGCTTCTAAGATGTGGTGTCTAACTAGGTATGGGTGTGTAGGAAAGGGAATGTCATCTGCTGAGACCTGGAGAAGAGTGTAGAAAAAAAATGCATTAGAAGAGCAGTAGATTGAGAATCAAGACTTGGGACCTACTGGAAAGCTGGCAACCTGTTGGAAAACTGGCATCCTGTTGGAAAACCAAGAGACTGTAATGCTCTTCCTCTGTCAGATGTGTGGTTATCCTCTAGTATCCATGGGCAGACCAGGTGCTAGTCAGCTGCAGCCAAGAAATCAAATGGGGTTCTCCTGAAACAGTACAAACCTGTTTTTCTAAGGCCACTGCCCAAGTTCAGGTCCTTCAAATCTCTAGCCTGGATTACTCATCCTCCTAGCTGAGCTAAAATGCCACCTCCTCTGCATTCTTCCCATATCATTTACTCCATATTTTTATAGCACTTACACTTTTTAACATTTCTTAGAATCATATGTCTACTTGCCAGTGTGTGTGTTTGTGTGTGTCTATGGTAGTCAACTCAGGCTGCCATAATGAAATACCATAAAGTGGGTAGCATAAGCAACACAAATTTGTTTTCTCACAGTTCTGGAGGCTGGGAGGTTTAAGATTCAGGTTGCAGCAAGGTAAGTTTCATTTTAGCCACAGGCAGCTGCCATTTTTTGTGTGCTCAATTTAGGAGGCGGTGAATGATCTCTCTCCTCCTCTCTTCCCCTTCTTATAAGGTCGCCAGTTCTGTCGGATTAGGACCCCATCCTTATAACTTAAGTTAGCCTTAATTACTTCCTAAAGATCCTGTTTCCAAATATATACAGTCACATGAGGGTTAGGGTCTTGACATACGAATTTGGGGACACAATTCAGTCCATAGCTATATATATATTATATATATGTATGTATGTAAGGACATACATATATTTTTTACTGATTTAAAGAATCATCTTATTACAAAAATATTAAAATACAAAATGTTCTCTGTTGTAAATTCCATATAGCTAATTAATCTCACAGATACTTTTTTTGATTTTGTTGAACTCTCATATCCATAGAAATATATAGTTGCCATTGATGAATGGGTGTAATTCCATGAATGTTGCTTGATATTTTTGTTAAAGAGTAAAATGAAAGTGAAACAACTAAGACATATATCTTCAACTTTGCATATTAAAATAATTGCAAGTTTACTGCCCTAAGTAGTTGTATTTAGTGTATGAGAACAGCCCTAAGCCCTGCCAAAATTTGCTATTTTTAGTTCTTACCAATATTAGGTATATAAAACGGTATGTCATTATTTCTTCAATTTTCATTTTCCTGAGTAGTAGTGAGGCTGAGCGTCTTTTCACAACTTTATTGGCCATTCAGATTTTCTCTCCTGTTGCCTTTTTTTGTTTTTTTTTTTGAGACACAGTCTTACACTGTCGCCTGGACTGGAGTGCAATGGCACAATCTTAACTCACTGCAGCCTCCGCCTCCCAGGTTCAAACGATTCTCCTGCCTCAGCCTCCTGAGTAGCTGGGATTACAGGTGCCCGCCACCACTCTGGGATAATTTTTTGTATTTTTAGTAGAGATGGGGGTTTCAGTATATTGGCCAGGCTGGTCTCAAACTCCTGACCTTGTGATCCACCCGCCTCAGCCTCCCAAAGTGCTGGGATTACAGGCGTGAGCCACGGTGCCCGGTCTCTGTTGCCTCTTTTCTACTGAGCTGTTTGTCCTTTATTATGGTCCATTATTATTGATTTGTTGGCATTTTAAAATTTTTTTGTTAAAATTGTGTTTTGATACTAGTTTTTTGTTATGTTGTTACTGGTAGAGGGTCTTGACTGCAAGTTGCCCAGATTCTTGGCATTTTGAACAAAGAATTGAACAAAACACCCAACAAAGCAAAGAAAGAATGAAGCAAGG